ACACCTCTAGGACTTTGAAGCGTGCAGGTCGGATAATAGCTGACTCGTCTCACCCTGGACACAGTCTCTTCGACTCGCTCCCATCTGGCAGAAGGCTCAGATCCATTCGGACCAGAACCTCTTGCCACAAAAACAGTTTCTTCCCCTCTGCAGTTGGACTTTTGAATGAACATCCTAGGGCAGCCCACTCAAGTTGATTGGTCCCAGTCACGTGACCGGATGCTGTGCTTGAACCATTCGACAAACACTCAGATAAATACCTACACGGAGTAGATAGCTGCTTCTTTAATTCTTGCCACTTTTTACATTAATAATTTTATCATGAGTGTTTTATTAGTTCTTATATTTGCTTATCTCTTAATTAATTTTTTTTCTATCTTACCTTCTGCACCAAAATACCGCAGCAAATTCCTAATGTTGTGACTTGGCACACATATGGCAATAAAAACTTCTGATTCTGATTCTGATGTATACATATACGGATATATGTATATCATAGATGTAAATTCATACACCAGCTTGCTTGGTCTATGTTTAACAAAAGATTAATATTTAATTTTAAAAATTTAATTTGATAGCAAAGTTATTTGTTAATTCAGAAGATTTAAAGATCTTTGTTCGTTCAGTGATCAACATACACCCACTCTGTGTTTATTTCAATGAAGAGTCACGTTTAAAAAGTTAAGAAATTTATTACTAAACAATTTAAATGTGAAAATTTAAAAGACAATTTTTAAAAGGTTGGATGGATCTAAGATGGTGTGTTTTCTTGCTGGTGAATGCAATTTTCTCAGAACGTGTATCTTTAGAGAAGAGGCGTTCTGAGTAGAAAGAATTTGGTTTGCAGATAAACTAAAGTTGTTCTTATTAAAGAGCATTCAGACGCAATCTGTCGGAAGTGTTTGGATCCTAGATGTCAGGAGGAGATGATGACCCCAAGCACGAGGTGGGTAGAAGAACTTTAGTGCGACCAAGTCTGTTCTGAAATGTCTCCGGGTCACAACGACTGATGAAACTGGTTGGGTCTCAAAAAATAATAACTCTGAAGGAGTTTGCGTCAGCTTTGGTCTGCAGGTTTCATTTGTTGTGTCGTAGCAATTCTGCCAGCGTGACAGAAATTGCTTGTTGGTTAAAGAGCATGTGGGCGGCCGTCCCACTTCTCTAGAACCTACTCGCTAAATGCTGAGAGTTCTGTTTTATAAGATGGGCATTTCCTGGTCTAACGAATCAGGTTTTGACAGGAAGATTTAACATACCTCAGAAACCCGCCTTCCCTAAAGATAGGAAGTTCTCGTGGATGAGAAAAGAATCATGTGAGTGCAGTTAACCTTAACCTGATTTACTGTGTCCTGTATGATTGTGTATAAGTGCACATGATCTTCTTGTCACTGTTAAACATTGCTGATTATCATAAATAATAATTATTATTCACCAAAGAATAATAATTCATTTCAGTAATTAAACACCGTTATAATGAACCATGAAGATTATTTATGAACATTGTAATAGACAGTAAAAAGAGTTTATTAAAATTATTCTTTTAAATCCTGAAGTGTCCTTCGTCTTGCGGATGGAACAGCAGTCAGATAAAGGCAGTCGGATTAAAGGGGTGGTAGACAGACATTCAGTCTCCTGTGAAAGAAACACAGTAGATTGCCGTAGAAGCTAGGTCAAAGTGACCCAGGCTGTGTGTCTGACCTGAGGGTCAAGAATCAGGCCATTCAGTGACGCTACAAACTGTTGTGTAAAAAGCAAAGGTGTAACCATGCTGTACTGCACACAGTTGCTACCAGTAACTTATTGTTGTGTTGGTGTTATTTAGTTCTGACAGACTGGTGAGTTTTTAGACATTCTTCAGAACCAGAATGGGAAGTTTTTATTGCCATATGTGCAAGAAATCACATTAGGAAAATTTTGCGTTACTTTGTGCAAAAAAGAAAGATAAAAATAAGGGATAAGCTAATATAGGAATATAGTCATGACAAAATAATAATATAAAGTGGCGATACTTAGAGAATCGGCTACAGAGTAGGTACAAGCACAACCCCGGGTCATGTGACTGAAACTAAACGACTGGAGTGGGCAGCCCTAGGATTGTTGTTCATGAGTCCAATTGCATAAGGGAACAAACTGTTCTTGTGGTGAGGGGTTCTGGTCCGAATGGATCAGAAACCTCCTGCCAGATGGGAGCAGGTCAAAAACACTGTCCAGGGTTCTTCTAGAGAGCTGCAGATGATAAAAAAAATGTCCAATATTCAGTCACTTCTTTTTGTTATAATTATTTTGTTACTTATTTCAAAACTAAGTGTGAGAAATCTCTATAATTTCTATTCTATTTTACTTTCAAATATGGCACCAATTTATGGTATAGGAACCTCCTTTAAAAAGAGGAACTACCTAAAATTATCTTCCAAAACATTTACAAGGGTGTGGTGGCCCTGCCTAGCTGTTCTGAGTCACTCAGACTCACAGATAGAGAACGTCTCATCACTGATGAAAGTGTAATCCTGTATATTAATTATGCAGCATTACTGATCAGGTGGAAATGTAGAAGAGGTGTCCTTTCAAATGTCCACGTTTGAGTGTCTGAGTCAGAAACAGAAGAGAACAAAAGCATCTGCAGATCTTTTATCCTTTTTTCCGTAAACATGTCAAACATCCATCGTCCCTCGATTCATCAGGATCAATCAGATCCTATAAAAGACAACAACAGTCTATCTCAGCTCACCCCTTTGACACACACAGCTGGTCCAAGATTAGATATTTTGTGTGCTTCCTCATCCCTTGTCATCGTTGCAGCTGCTGAACAGGTCTCCAAAAAGGGATCATGTATGTGCAAATGAATCCCCTGTTGAGTGCAGGTGAGAGCTACTCAGCAACAAGAGGGATGTACTCAATTAGATGTGCTGGACCCGTGCAACCTGCTGAGGATTTCTCAGCTGCCCAGCAGATGGCAACATGATGAACCATTAACAGTAAGAGTGCTGTTCTCTTTAAAAGCTGTCTGGATTCTTCCCATCCGCTGCTGGGTTTTAACCCTTCACAGGGCCAGCATCTATATTTAGACACTTCCACTCACTTCGTAAATGATGTCGGTGTGCCCTTTCACAAACTCTTAGAATTATGCAATTTCACTCAACCAATCATCAAAGATCGAGCTAGTCACAGTTTGCGCCATGGCACCATTCCACCAATCACTATTGAATCTGCAGAGCCAGAAAACTGCTCGGTGTTTTCTCATGTTTATGGTCAGATCTCTAAAACTAACAACGCTACATTTACGAAACTCTCACATCACAAGGTTGACTAGTTGTACTAAATAAGGATATTTGTATTGGAAATGCTCCAATGCGCCTTAAACAAGTAAAAGGAATGATGCATATTTTTAGGTAAAATCTGGTCAAATCAATATTTGCAATTTCAAACTAAGATTTCAATGGAAAATGTAGGAGCACAGTTATGGTGCCAGCCAATCCTGCCATCTATGGGGAGAAAAAGGTCTCAAAAGATCTGTCCATGTGTATCTAGATCGGTGTGTGTGTGTGTGTGTGTGTGTGTGTGTGTGTGTGTGTGTGTGTGTGTATGTGTGTGTGTGTGTGTGTGTGTGTGTGTGTTTGTGTGTGTGTGTGTGTGTGTGTGTGTGTGTGTGGATATAAGCAAGTGTAACTCTTGATTTGTAAATTGTGTATACATTTTTGTGTGTAACTTCAACTCCTACAAATTTAATAACTAAAAATCATTAAACACACACACACACACACACACGAACGCATGCACGCACGCACGCACGCACCCCCCCCCCCCCCCACACACACACACACACACACACATCACTTAGTACACACGAACAAAACTACATTACACACAGACCAATTTACAAGTACAAAATTCTTTTTGAGACTCTTTTCTTCCCTGACTGATTTGGTGCATTTGCTGGGTGGAAGCTGGAAAATCTGAATTTCCTTTAGATTTAGTCTAAGTTTGTGTTGATGGGACAAATATGTTTTTCTGTTGAAAACTATAGTATCTCAGGATCCTGTAGTCATAAAAGATGGACCTACATTTAATTTATAAAGATCTAAAATGGTTTGTTTAGCCAATGTGTGTTTATGAGCCATGAAAACGTAAACGTCAGGTTATAAGAAATGACCATTAGATGGCAAAGTGGTTCCCTGACTGGAAAAAGCCGGCTTCATACCAAGAAGCACGAGAAGATGGCACAGCATCCTGGTGATCTTCTGAAGAAAGTTAAAGTTAAACCTGCACGATTTGCAGTCCGGTTATAATGAGACAGCTATTTTTTTAGACAGTTTCAGATGTTTTATTGGTCAAAATATGTTTTTTACTTGTAAACTGATCCCCCCCCCCCTCTCTCTCTCTCTCTCTCTCTCTGTGTGTGTGTGTGTGTGTGTGTGTTTGTGTGTGTGTGTGTGTGTGTGTGTGTGTGTGTGTGTGTGTGTGTGTGTGTGTAATGATTTGTATGTGAAGGATTCGAAGTTACGCACAAAAATTTAAACACAAGTTACAAATCAAGAGTTACATTTGCTTAGATCTATCTACACACACACACACACACACACACACACACACACACACACACACACACACACACACACACACACACACGCGCACACACACACACACACACACACACACACACACACACACACACACACACACACACACACACACACACACACACACACACAGCTCTAGAAACGCACATCTAGATACACACGCAGATGTTTTGGTACTTTTTTCTCCCCATAGACAACATCTATATTTGATCACTTTGTTTTCTCCTACATCCTGTTCCCTGTATTTGTTAAAGAACGTACTTGTTGGTGACCCCTTCAGGACCCACATCGTAAAACCCCACACTGCAGAATCATCAGTGGTGTTTCTGACAAATCACCTTGCTTTATTTCATGAAGTCATCTGCTAACTTGCAAAATGTCATTTACACTGAAAACAAAACAAGCAAATACTTTTTTTCCTGTCTTTGAATGAGAGAACAGTTATTTCCGAGCTGTCCCAGAAGGCGTCGCGGGCTCCTTGCCCCGGATGACAACAAAAGGAACTTATCCTCCGGAGGAACACGGACGTGGGAGGTTAGAGGAGAAGCGCAGAGCAGGATGTGAGCAAGAACAGCAGCATGGCCAACTCCAGTTCTCCTGATGCGGCTGCAGCTGGAGCCCAGGCGCTGCAAGCGGAGGTGATGGAGAGTCCTCTGCAGGTGAGTTGGTTAAAGGTCTGGGCAGGTGGACAGGTGGCCCACCTGAGCTCCAGTTTAAAGGTTCTGTAATCAGGTGGAAACGCTTCAGAATGATCTGATCAGGGTTTGTTAAGTAGATTGTTATTAATGTTGGTTTATAGCTTAGGCGATATGTTCCTGTCATACATACTGTTTACTGTTGTTTGTATTGTGGTTAGAGTTAGTAGTGCTAGTACTAAACCCTGTTTAGTAGTGCTAGTACTAAACCCTGTTTACTGTTGTTTGTGTTGTGGTTAGAGTTAGTAGTGTCAGTACTAAATCCTGTTTACTGTTGTTTGTGTTATGCGTGGAGTTAGTAGTTGTAACGTGATGAAGGAGCTATTCCACCGAAGGATATTTACCCTCTCTACTCAGATGTCTCTGACACAGAACTAATCTGCATGAGACTGCCTCAAGGTCATGCATTTGCTTCTAAAACTGCTCCCTTTCCAGCTCAAGAGAAGAAAGAAGACAAACTATTTCTATTTTTAATAAAGCTAACCAAACAAAGTGTTAGTCCAATAATAAGATGTGAACCAATCTGTGAAATGACAATGTTATGATTAGAAAATTTTAATAAGTAATATGACGTTAATCTAGCTGCACTAGACATCCTGATCCACGTAATGTAAGCCACATGACACATTTTATCTTTCTCATCCAATCGGAACCTTCCTTTCTGAAGTGTGGCATAGTCTCTGTGGTGTTTATAAATCTGTCAAACTTTGATTCGACAGTAAATCAAAACATCCAGATTAATAAAACATTCTAAGAGAAGTATCGGACCGGCCACCTGGACTTCCTTTTAAAGTAAAGAACCAACAAGCTGGATAAAATCTGTTACACTTTACCAACCAAGCAACGGTTCCTTTCAGAATAAAAGCTGAACTCGCTGACCCTCAGGGTCCATCTTACACTGTCAACCAACCGTCGCTTTTTACCTGGAAACAATCCAAAGACTAGTCTGTCATACTGCTGACGCTGTTTCATCAGCTCCGGTACAGAAAGGGGGGTCAGAGGACCTGGCATTCTGGATCTGTACGGAGGTCTCATCCTAAGGGTATGTGTGGAGCGACAAAATGGCGTCTCACTCCGATCATAGCTTAAGAGCAAAACATCACTTCACACTCAGAGTTGCTTCTCCGGATACGAGAGTTCTGATGACAACATCACTCACACATACACCATTCATCTCACGTCTCATTCACACCAAGATCCATCCATCACTTAGAGTTTAGAGTTAGTCTTGTTTAAAATTGTCTTTGTCTTCGTCTTCGTCTTCGTCTTCCTCCGCTTATCCGGGTCCGGGTCGCGGGGGCAGCATCCCAACTAGGGAGCTCCAGGCCGTCCTCTCCCCGGCCTTGTCCACCAGCTCCTCCGGCAGGACCCCAAGGCGTTCCCGGACCAGATTGGAGATGTAACCTCTCCAACGTGTCCTGGGTCAACCCGGGGGCCTTCTGCCGGCAGGACATGCCCGAAACACCTCCCCGGGGAGGCGTCCAGGAGGCATCCTGGCCAGATGCCCAAACCACCTCAACTGGCTCCTTTCGATCCGGAGGAGCAGCGGTTCTACTCCTAGTCCCTCCCGAATGTCCGAGCTCCTCACCCTATCTCTAAGGCTGAGCCCGGCCACCCTACGGAGGAAACTCATTTCGGCCGCTTGTATCCGCGATCTCGTTCTTTCGGTCATTACCCAAAGCTCATGACCATAGGTGAGGATTGGGATGTAGATCGACCGGTAAATCGAGAGCCTGGCTTTCTGGCTCAGCTCCCTCTTCCCCACGACAGATCGGCTCAGCGTCCGCATCACTGCAGACGCCGAACCAATCCGCCTGTCGATCTCCCGATCCCTCCTACCCTCACTCGTGAACAAGACCCCGAGATACTTAAACTCCTCCACTTGAGGTAGGACCTCTCCCCCGACCCGGAGGTGGCAAGCCACCCTTTTCCGGTCGAGAACCATGGTCTCAGATTTGGAGGTGCTGATCCTCATCCCAGCCGCTTCACATTCGGCCGCGAACCTACCCAGCAAGAGCTGAAGGTCAGAGCTGGATGAAGCTAGGAGGACCACATCATCCGCAAAAAGCAGAGACGAGATTCTCCTGCCACCAAACTCGACACACTCCACACCACGGCTGCGTCTAGAAATTCTGTCCATAAAAGTGATGAACAGAACCGGTGACAAAGGGCAGCCCTGGCGGAGTCCAACCCTCACTGGGAACAGGTCCGACTTACTACCGGCTATGCGGACCAAACTCACGCTCCTCTGGTACAGGGACTGAATGGCCCTTAACAGAAAGCCACCCACCCCATACTCCTGGAGCGTCCCCCACAGGGTGCCCCTGGGGACACGGTCATAAGCCTTCTCCAAATCCACAAAGCACATGTGGATTGGTTGGGCAAACTCCCATGCCCCCTCCATCACCCTTGCAAGGGTATAGAGCTGGTCCACAGTTCCACGGCCAGGACGAAAACCACATTGCTCCTCCTCTATCTGAGATTCAACTATCGATCGGACCCTCCTCTCCAGTACCTTGGAGTAGACCTTTCCAGGGAGGCTGAGGAGTGTGATCCCCCTATAGTTGGAACACACCCTCAGGTCACCCTTCTTAAAGATGGGGACCACCACCCCAGTCTGCCACTCCCTAGGAACTGCCCCCGATGACCACGCAATGTTGTAGAGACGTGTCAACCATGACAGCCCTACAACATCCATAGCCTTGAGATACCCAGGACGAACCTCATCCGCCCCCGGGGCTCCGCCGCTGTGTAGTTGTTTGACTACCTCAGCAACTTCTGCCCCCGAGATCGGACAGTCCATCCCCAGGCCTCCCAGCTCTGGTTCCTCCTCGGAATGCGCATTGGTGGGATTGAGGAGCTCCTCAAAGTATTCCTTCCACCGTCCGACTATAGCCTCAGTTGACGTCAGCAGCTCCCCATCCCCACTGTAAACAGTGTGAGCGAGTTGCTGCCTTCCTCTCCTGAGGCGCCGGACAGTTTGCCAGAACCTCTTTGGAGCCGATCGATAGTCTTTCTCCATGGCCTCACCAAACTCCTCCCACGCCCGAGATTTTGCCTCGGCAACTGCCACTGCTGCACCCCGCTTGGCTATCCGGTACCTGTCTGCTGCCTCCGGAGACCCACAGACCAGCCACGCCCTGTAGGCCTCCTTCTTCAGCCTGACGACTCCCCGAACCTCTGGTGTCCACCAGCGGGTACGGGGGTTGCCACCACGACTGGCACCGGCCACCTTACGACCACAGCTAGCAACAGCCGCCTCGACAATCGCAGAGTGGAACAAGGCCCACTCGGACTCAATGTCCCCCACTGCTCTCGGGACGTGGTCAAAGCTCTGCCGGAGGTGGGAGTTGAAGACCGTCTTGACAGGTTCTTCTGCCAGGCGTTCCCAGCAGATCCTCACTATGCGTTTGGGTCTGCCAGGTCTACGCGGCATGTTCCCTTGCCATCTGATCCAACTCACCACCAGGTGGTGATCAGTTGACAGCTCCGCCCCTCTCTTCACTCGGGTGTCCAAAACATACGGCCGCAGGTCAGATGATACGACTACAAAATCTATCATCGACCTGTGACCTAGGCTGCCCTGGTACCAAGTGTACCGGTGGGCATCCTTATGTTCGAACATGGTGTTCGTTATGGCCAAACTGCGGCTTGCACAGAAGTCCAATAACAAAACACCGCTCGAGTTCAGATTAGGTGGGCCGTTCCTCCCAATCACACCCCTCCAGGTCAAGCTGTCATTGCCCACGTGAGCATTGAAGTCCCCCAGCAGGACAATGGAGTCCCCTGATGGAGCACTATCTAGCACTCGTCCCAGGGACTCCAAAAAGGGTGGGTACTCTGAACTGATATTTGGCCCATAAGCACAAACAACAGTCAGGACCCGTTCCCCGACCCGAAGGCGCAAGGAAGCTACCCTCTTGTCCCCCGGTGTAAACCCCAACACACAGGCAGAGAGTCTCGGGGCTAACAAAAAGCCAACCCCAGCCCTCCGCCTCTCACCCGGAGCAACTCCAGCAAAGTAGAGTGTCCAACCCCTCTCCAGGTCTCGGGTTCCAGAGCCAATGCAATGTGTCGAGGTGAGTCCGACTATATCTAGCCGGTACCGCTCAACCTCTGCCACAAGCTCCGGCTCCTTCCCCGCCAGCGAGGTGACGTTCCATGTCCCAAAAACTAGTTTTCTTGTCCGGGGATTGGACCGCCAAGGCTCCCGCCTTGGTCTGCCACCCGATTTGCATTGCACCGGACCCTTCATGTTCCTCCTGCGGGTGGTGGGTCCACAGTTGGACAAGCCCATGTATCCGGTTCGGGCTGGGCCCGGCCGGGCCCCATGGGCGAAAGCCCGGCCACCAGGCGCTCGCTCACGGGCCCCAACCCCAGGCCTGGCTCCAGGGTGGGACCCCGGTAACCCTCCGGGCCGGGTACTCCGACTCTTCGTTTTAACCGCCATGAAAGATCCTTCGAACCGTTCTTTGTCTCACCCTTCACCTAAGACCAATTTGTCATGGGAGACCCTACCAGGGGCACTAAGTGCCCCAGACAACATAGCTCCTAGGATCATTAGGGCACTCAAACTCCTCCACCACGATAAGGTGACGGTTTAAAATTGTTTAGAAATAAATCTTCTTAAACATTTTAAAGGTGACTCTGTCTTCTCTTGTCTCTACGAAGTGGTTACATAATCCCTGCAATAAAAAGTTCCAATCTTCTAGTTAAAATTACCCAAAGGTCCATAAGATTGATTTCATATTTCCTATGGAATCTCACATCTTATGGTTCAGTAAATAGATGTAAATTAAATCATTACATAGTGATAGTACTAAACCCTGTTTACTGTTGTTTGTGTTGTGGTTAGAGTTAGTAGTGTCAGTACTAAACCACGTTTACTGTTTTTTGTGTTATTCTGCTGGTAAAATACAAACTTTAATGTATCTTGATGCATCCACGTAACTACTCTCATTAAC